GTGGCTGTGATGAATGTATTTACCAAAATTATTGCAACATTATACTTCTGTGAATATTGTGCAGTGCCATCTGAGATCCATAAACGAACACACACACTGCCTACTCCATACTTTCTTCAAATACTGCACAGTATATTAATAAAATACGTCCTCATCGTTCCTTTTATCCTGTTTTTGCGTGGCATCTGTTGGGGACTGAAGTCGGTGCAGAGCGTTTTAACGTCAGCACTCGTCACACTACAGCAGGTGCATGTGCGTTTGCACGCCCACACGCTGCATGTGTCTGTGCTTGTTGAGGCTAGACTTGCTGTCTGTTGTGTTTGTGTGCGGGTAGGCAACACTAGACAGACGAGCTGACTCTCTGTCAGCAGATACAGATGAATGAGGAGGTAAGTTTGGTGTCCAAAGACGCCAGGGCACAGCTAAAGGAATATATTGTTAGTGTGCCGGACAGTGTCGAGTGATATCCATGTGGTTCATCTTACTTAACTCCTTTCATTGTTATTTGATACAACAGCAACGTATCAGAATGATGGAGCGAATGAGAAGCAAAAGCCCGTGTCTGTGTTGTGTGGGTGGACCAATCTGGGCACGCCAACTGCTCAGCTAGAGCCCTCTGAGTGTATTTGGGTTATGCATTTCCCTTACCGATTCAAACAAAAACTCTGTAATCCACCGGGTGTTTACTGATTGTGTTGATGTAAATGAGTAAACTAAAATGTGATTCACGTGTGAGACAGCGAGAATAGGGTGCAGCAGTGCCAGTTGGACAATAACTGGTTTTGGACTTTCACCTTGTTTTTTTTTTGTTTTTTTCCCTTTCATGTAACTCCAGGTCATGAGAAACGATGGTAAGTTGTAGTACCACCTAGTGCCAGAGAAGACTATGGAGTATGACTGTTATGAATAGCTCAGACCTGTGATGTTCGTCTGTTAGAGCAGTCTGAAAGCAAGTTTGCAACCAAATATTCATCTGAATACAACCACTGAATGAATATTTACTTCAAGACGTTAGACTTCTAAAACTGTGTAAAGATGTGGAAAAGCTGCTTACGATCACTGTTAAGTACGGTGAGGGACCTGTGAGGATGTGGGCTTTTTCCTTCTCCAATGACCCCATGACCTTGGTTGTGTACAGAGTTATGGCCCCCTTTGAAATAAGTAAAAAAAAAATGATGTGGTGATGTGTCCAGTACTTAAACATTTTCATGAAAAAGTTTTCGTTCATTTTGTGGTTTGGTTTCTGTTCGAGTAAAAGAAGAATTAAGCATATTTTTAAAGTCTGGTGGCTTAGTGTGAAGGGTACTTATGTTTTCTTCAGCTCTGTAATTAGCTGCTCACCAGATCTCCATACCTCTGTCCAGCTGGGGGAGAGTATGTTTGTGTGTATCCAGCTGTACATAATCCTCAGTCTCTTATCTTCTTAACCACCGGCCCATAGTTAACAGCAGCCATCTGTGGCCCATCCGCAGAGTTGGTTGTGGCCAACGTCCCCGGTCTCCATGTAGCAAATACCAGCAGCACACTTTCTCTTTCTCAAAGTTTTTCTTCACACATTTGCTGGTTACTTTGGTTTTTATATGTACATGTGAAGAAGCATTCATCATTTTGACTATTAGCTTATTATTATTTTTTTTTTTTTACCAGATTTCTTCTCAAATTTACATATAGGATTCCACACAGTCGCTAAATGGAAAGAGATCTACTTAAAGTGCAAGTATTCATGTACTTATTTTCTGGATTTCAATAGTGACCAGTAATGAAAAATAAAATAAAACAAAAAAAATCTACATAGTAGATAGTATAGTATTAGTAAATCAGAGCCTTGTATTATTTGTGATTTTTATCAAATGTATCTTCATCGCAATATTCATGTCGCAAATAAGCCTGTCTCGAAAAGCAATAAATCAATTGATAGCAGGATCAAGTAAAACGAGTTTGATAATTTCCATTTGCATGATGTATAATTTTTCTCTTCTCCTTCTTTCTACCAAAAACTGGATAAGTCTTTAGTCTGCTGCATATGTTTCAAATAGCTTTATTTTTTGAAAGCTTCATATTTAATTTTAGTTGTCGCTTCTGTTTTTATGTATTTAAAAAGTCTTCCAGTTCGAGTGTTAAACGTTCATTAAAATTTAAAGGTTATTGATCTTTGAGATGGACGTGCCTGCGGTATTATGTTATTACCACTATATTACTTGAAAATGGTCTAAAAACAATATTGTGGTTTATCGCGATAAGTTTATCGTTCAGCAAAATGTTTTGTGATGGATGTAATCGCAAAGATGGTTTGTAATTAAATAATTGTTGGCTAATATATTCCAAATGTTGTGAGCGGGCATTTCATTGTAAGTTAATACTTATCTTGTTGGACACCAGCAGATGCTTACACCGCACAATAATGACCTTGCCCAAAATGCTATATTGGGCAAGGTCTTCATATTAAATCTAGAATATTTTGTGGTAAACTTATTAATCTATTATGTATCTAATTAATTTAACCGTTTTTTTTTTGTTTGTTTTTTTTGTCCTTAATGACTTTGGTCTGAACCCTTTAAAATTGTTTGTGGCGTCTCTGTGGAAGTGTCTCATGACGCAGCCACACCCACAGAAACAACAAGAGCTCACAGTGAGGGAGACGTGGCCACATGGATGGTTGAGTATTATAACTGAACAGTTCACCACTGGAGTGAATGAATATTTCAGTGTTGTGCAACAGTGAGGCCCTTATAATAGCCACGCCCTCTGTAAAAGCAAGCTCGCGAAAAGGAAGACTTCATAAAACAGAAAAGGGATTAATACTGAGCTCAGTGGCCCTCACAGGATATTAAATGTAGTTGAACAGTGTAACAAAGTTTTAACTTGCCATCTTGAAAGATTTAATACTCTTTAAGCCAGTTTTTGTGCTACACTTGGCCACAGTCTTAGTCTGTTATTTAGAAATTAGAAACTCTTGAAAAGGCGAACAAAACAGCAGAACAATATGGATTTGGATTGTGTGAAAACAAGCTCTTTCACAAGGAGTTCATTCATAACCCACTGCTACTATACCAACTATGCATACTGTTTTATTGCTGCAGTAACACACCAGTAAGCCCATATTGTATCAGTTATAAAAACATTCACTGTTTAGACAGAACTGAAACCAGAGCTGTTTTTTCAAACAACTCCCTCTGTTTTACGTTAATGTACGTACGTTAGGAATTCCTTTCACACCTAAACTCGCCAGTTGGGAAATTCAACACTTCACCATGGTATGTTCATTACTATAATTATATTTACACAGTCCAGACAGGCTAAAAACATCTCGCGCAATCTCAGTAATGGGTTTGTGGAGGAACCTGAAATGTCGCTCACGATTTGAAGCCAGCCTTATCAAGTTGTAGCTGCAGAATTTGTGCGAGTGTTGGAGGTGATGGCAGCAGCTTCTTGCATGTGTTGCAAGCCAATTGTCTCTTGGAGTTAGTTACGTGGGTGGGAGTGGCTGAGTGAGTGACGGCTATGCATGCATCTCTGCATGCCGTCGAGCTGTGCAGACAGCTGGATGGCTCACTCTGCTGAAAATTTTACACTCCATAAGATGCCGCAGACACGCTACACACACATATACACCGTATAGAGTATCTCCCCGTTTATGAAGCAGAGTGCAGAATGTCAACAGTTCAGTAATTCAAGGTTTCTCCAGGCCTCTCGACTCTATATGGACTCTGACACACAGAGAAATAAACATACACACAGGGGTCCCACAGAGAAGCTATTGATTCATGCTGAACATCTAGACAAAAGCTCCGTCAATCAATGTTTCACCGCTGCCAGTGGATGATCATTTAAGCTGTGAGGAGGAAAATGCACATTCTTATTTGTTCTCAACTGAGTATAAGCTACTTGGTACAAAAAAAAAAGCTGTTGGTTGCATAATTTGTAAGGTGTATGATTGAGAGTGAATGTTCATTATTTTTTTCTTAAGTCCTAGATATTTTTTTAAGTCTCTCCCAGCATTGAATAAGGTTGTTTTGTCAGTAGCCTTTTGTGCACTGCATCTTATTACGATTTAATCTAGTGACATAAAACAACCGTTCAGGACAGACAACAATTTCCTGTGTGTCTTTTCCCACAGGAAGCTAATAAAGTAATTCATAAGTCCATGTTTCATGCTAAGTTGAGGTCAGGTTGTCTGTTTTTCCAGTTTAAAGATTATCAAAATAAATGCATTTGCAGGTCTATAAAAATAAACTGCTGTACAAATCAAACTGACTTTCATTCTCATTAAAAATGAATTATCTCAAAATATAATGCATTGTTTTCATTTTCTATTTTTTAATAGGTCTAACTATAATTCTGTCTGATTAACTTGTTGCAAACTCTGCCCTGCTGATTTTTGTGTTATGACGTTCCTAAAATGTTTTCCTGTTTGAGTACTTCTAAAACTTGCTCATATCCTGTTTTTTTTGTTTTTTGTTTTTTTTCCAGGCCACTTTAGTGACAATGGCTAAAAGTGTGACATGTCATTTCAAACTTAGATTTTTGTAGAGCTGTATAACTGCTGGTATCCAAGTTGCTCGTGAAACTTTTTTCCACATTTTCCTTCCTCTCAACTTTCCAGTAATTTGCGTGCATACAGCACTTTGCAACCAAGCATTTCTATTATCTATGATCTGTTTGTGGCCCGACTGTTGAAGGCCTTCAACAGTCAGCAGTTTTCTTTTTTGATAATGTAGCAGTTAGCGTTAGAAACCTTTGTTTTGTTATTTTTATCTTTGGAGAAACATAATTTAATGTGTTCATTCCCTGTAAGTCATAATAAACAACTTGAACAAATACATTTCTGAAATATCACTTTGTCTCAATGGAACATGATTTTTAAGCTGAAATTACTGCAATAAAGCTTTCAATGATAATCAGATTTTTTTTTTTATTTGATGCATCTGTATGAAACTTTGATATTTTTTATTTATTTTTTTCCTCTGGAAGTTTATTCATCATGCTCCTTTCTGTTCTAGGTGGCACCAGAGACATTGGATCGGCATTGACCAGGATGTGCATGAGGCATCGCAGCATAGAGGCGAAACTCAGACAGTTCTCCATGTAAGAAAAATTACACACTGAAATGTTGTTCTTTTGAACACACATCGCTCTTTGGCCAAAGTTATCCTCCAAAAAATGTTGACTGCTGCTTCTCCTGGCCTTTTGTGTTGTAATGTTTTGGGTGTGTGGGCGACCGTGATCCTTGTTGTGGAATGCTGAGAAAAAGTCTATTTACTTGGACGCATACGCATCTATAATGTCAATGGAAAGATGGACACAGCACAGCTTTCTGCCTTGCCCCCTCCCGTTACCACACACATCCCAGACAAGAGGCTCTTTAATTTCACTTGGCATTTCTGTAGAGATTCCATTTGGATCTCCATAGCAGGGGCCATACACGTGGGGTCTGCCATCAACAACCACCCACTGACACACACTTTGTGGAGATGTCTGCAAGAGGGAGAAGTCTAATTTTAGCTCGACTCGCTAAGGCTGCAGCTGTCCGCATTTCACACACTTTACAAATGTGTCTAGGAAGACGTTCATGCTTGGCTAATGATTGACAGACATAACTGCACAAGCTTAGTACTTCCCCCTGTGTCGCACAATCAGACACTTGCAGACTCTTTTCTCACAGTCTGTTTTTTTTTTTTTCTTCTCCCTCCCGGTTTGTCTGTCAATGATTGACGTGAGATTACGTGCCACATAAATAAACCAGACTTTATGTTTGTGCATTTTTCAAGCTTGGCAGTCTGCTTTCACTTAAATTGGATGATAAATATACTGCTGTCGTACGTATGTATTTTATTTCCATTTTGGTACAGAACATCAGACAATTGTAAATAATTGTGAAGTGGAGGGAAAATGTTAAATGGTTTTCAAAGGTCAACTTTTCTTTGCAAAAATAGCTGGAGACCTTGGAGGCTTTCACAAAACAGCTGCATCAACACCGAGACTAAATTTTACACAGGTGAACTTTATTTGATGACTGGATTGTATTTAGGGGTATATAAATAAAAGGGGTAGAACGCAGAAGTGTGTCTTTGCATGAAAAATTTTGGAGGTAATGTATGTGGGGGCGGGGGGAGGGTAAGTGGATGATCTCGTTTGGCCTTTGTTCTTCATGACGCAGCTCTGTTTCGCAAGAGCTTGTCGGTTTAATATGAGTTCTTGCCATTCCCTTCCAAATAGACATCGCAAGGGCAGAAATGTCATGAAAACTACATTTTCATTTTCATGTAAATTGAACTAATCTGGCTGACCTCAGATTAAAAGTGAGAAACCTGTCGTTTCACAGGTGCTTTCTGGAGGGTCTGATTAACCCTCTGCAGGAACAGATGGAGGAGTGGAAAAGAGGTGTCAACACTTTAGACAAAGACCATGCAAAAGGTGAGGTGATGATCCCTCAAACTCATTCTCAAAGTAAATTGTTGCCAGTTTTATCACTTCAGTTCACAGTTTATATTCATCTATTCAGTAGTGCAAAAATAGACAAAATGTTTCGTCATATAAATTGTGTTAAACGCTCAATAAAGCAGTTGATTGGTCTTTTTGTAACAGAGTACAAACGAGCGCGACAGGAAATCAAGAAGAAGTCCTCGGACACACTAAAACTTCAGAAAAAGGCAAAGAAAGGTGAGAAGAAGCTTTTTGTGAAGCAATTTGCATTTGACATGTGCCGTCAGGCATACATCTTGTCAAATAAACAAGTTAAATGCTTTTTAGTCATGGATGATTTATTGTCAATCCTGGAAATGCAAAACTATTAAGCTTTGCAGCAGTAGTTCAACAGCAGGTAAGTTTATTGAAACGAAGCTGCTGTTTTTGCCTTAGGCGGTATGTTGTTGTTAGCCTAGCCAGACCTGACGCTTGTTTTTCCATTGACCTCTTGCTGAATTTGTCTTCTTTAAACATTTAGCCGGGTAGCTGTTGTGAAGGAGCTTGTAAAAGGTCACAAGGGAAAAAGCTGCAACTCATCTATGTGTGTCCCACTGGTTTTATATACAAGCTGCTATTTTTTTTTTAGACTTATGATTGAAATACTGCATTAGATATATACATATATTCCAATGTAACAGCTGGTGAATGTAAAAATCTGTTGACAAGAATTTAGTGCATACTAAGAAAATTGTGCTGAAAAATAATATGTGGAGAGAAAATTTTATTGATTTATTTTTTCTATTTTAATAGGAAATATGTATAAATTGGGGTTCAGTTCTCCGTTTAGCATGTGTATTGAACAAGTGTTTTCCTACTGAGTAAGTTGTGCAGCTCTAGTAAGGCTGAACATTGCCTTACTTGGTAAACACTGTGAGAGGGCAGTGCAGTACTCTTGGCTCAGGTTATACATACTTGATCACCTAAATGGAAAATAGTGCTGTACATGAAAAGACATTTGGCTGGCTGTCATTGTGGCATGTTTATAGATTTGGATTGGTTTTCATATTTATTTATTTATTTTTTATTTTTTCAGACATGTTAGCTACTTTAAGGAAAGCAAGGAGGGGAACTCATTTCTGTGTTTGCATTCCCATCTTTTGAAGTGCAGATGAATGAGCCTGTCAGGATAGCACCAAGTACTGCATCATTGCAGGACTATTGCTATGCTAAAGACAATGCAGATTATTTAATATCTGTTTTGATGGCATCTGAGAGTATGCCATCAAAACAGATGGCATGTGCTGTCTATCTGTGATAGCCTTTACGTCACACTTTTCGTTACAAAGTCATTTTCTCATGTTTGAATCCTTAAACAAGGTTTTAGACATGCATAGGCACACATTGATAGATTAGTGTTTAGCTGGCAGTTTCTCAGTTCATGTGGATTTTTTTCTCTCCCTGCCCACCCATGGTTGATATTCTTCTCTTAATGCTGCACTGCAGCAGACAATCATGGTAAGTCACTTCATAGACAATATTTAAATAGTTGCTCATGCTACAATTTATTAAGTGTCTTGGTTTTATTGGTAAATGACTAATGTAGACCTTACTTTCTTGTCATGCATTCTTTTTCTTTATACAAGCTGTAGCTACTCGTTAGACTCTAGCAACACGTTAGTCCTATTTATAGTGTCGATCTCCTTTTTAGTGTAGTGTGTAGTGTAGATTATGAAACGATAATTAAGGATTTGGCCTTCTTTTCATCTTTCACTGTTCTTTTTTGTGCCATCCCATTCATTACTTTTAGTTTTGAGTAAGTTGCTTTTTCTTAAGAACCTTTTTAAGATTAAAAAAGAAGAGAAAACCTTGACTTTCAGAAATGTGCTCTACACAAATTGTTTATCCAGCTAAGAGCTACATAAGTCACATAATGCTTAAACACACCTGTACTTATGATAACACTGACATTAACAAATAAAAAATACATTTCAGTCATAGCCTTTGAAGCATTTGCAGTGTATTTTGTTAAAAAAATGTCAGAGGAATTCCTCCATCTGCCCAAACTTCTGCTGCAATGTTAGACATACAGGGTTCCAAGTCTAGATTGTGCATCCATCTAACATTTGCCCAGCCTTAATCCATCAGTCTATCAATGTTGCAAATTAAAAGCCTGACGACTCCAGAAGTATTTGTAGATCGACAGAAAACTTTTGTAAAATTTAAATATTTTGAATGGATCAAAATTTTTAGAAATTTGAGTCTGGAAAAATATGGGACATTGACATGTAAACTTGTTTAGACATCATCCTGAATAGACATTAAATAAAACACAGACTAGTAGAAACTTGCGGCTCTCGGGGCTCAGTAAGCTTTTGCAAACCTTCTTGGCTTTGTTAAAGCTGACATAATCTTTGACTTGGTATGCTCAATCTGATTAACCTTCATGTCCGAGCTTCACAGCTGTCAAGAGCTTGAACTCCGGCTTTTGACTAAAGACAACACAAGACTACATACTTTCTCTTCTTATTAGCTTTCCACTACCACTCAGAGGTGACCGCTATGTTTCATCTCGGAGCGCTCAACTGGGTCACTATAAAATCCTCAATCTACTACATTTTGAATAATCAGGTTATTCAGCTGTCGTAGAACATTACGAATTCTCTGTAATGTTTCCCTGCTACCTAATTTTTCTCATTAATCTCAGGAGATAAATACTGAGATCTAAGTATTTCTACTTTATCTAACTTTAAGCTGTAATAATAGTATTTAAGTATAGGTTTATGCGTATTAACTGAATTAGGGACATTTATTTTCTCATAAAAAATACCACACCATCCACCGTCTTCTAGTTGGTTACACAAGATCTGATGTTTTCTTATCTGTCTCATGAGGGTGTTTTTCTGACCCAAAAGCCCAGCAGCACTCAGAATAAGTCTAAAATTACAGCCTAATTTAATCATTGACCATGTGAAAGCTGGAGCAGTTAATCCCATTTGTGTCTGCACACATGTAGCAACATGTGTGCAGAATGAGGGACAGTTCAACCCCTCGAGTCAGATAAGTTGAAGCTGGTAAAGACGGCTAAGATTTAGTCAAACTCCTAAATGCTTGAATTGTTTTTATATTTTGACTGACTTTTTGCTAATAGTTTGTGGAGCTTATTGCATGTGTGTATATCATTCTGGTTTCCATATCATTAGCTTTCTGTTTTGTCAATTCCCAGCTGCCTCATTTAAAGTAAACAGTCTTGATAATTGGTCACCTTTTATTGAGATGAAATGTAAAAAAATTTTTCGGTGCTATGTTTAAGACTAGCAGGTTGTTTTGAAGTTATGAATCTGTTAAAGTAAAATATTCTAATTGTGTCCTTAAGATCCGTATTGTGGATTACAAGCTTGTATTTTGTGGTGAAATGACTGAAAGTTTCTAATCTTCAGTCTAGCTTGATGGATAATCATCCAAAGCAGCTCCAAGTCAATTTGCCCCTTTGCTAATTGGTAACCACATTTTATACCCATATTTTGGCATTTCATTTCCTACTTTCATTTAGGAATAATGATTATTAATAATAATAATAATAGTTAAATTCCTAGATATCATTTTATTTAGGGAAATGACATCCTATTTCAAAAACACAATTGCTGCTGTTTGAGTTATGAGAAGAAATGTCAGCTTTAAGGTGGAAGAGTTGCTTTCTCTCACTTTGTCCTTAACTTTACATGAACTTCATAGCCAAGTCTACTTCGAGCCAGAGCGTATGTGTTGTACTTGAATATAAAACGTATTTTTAAAGTGGTTAATTTGCTTTCTGTAGTTTCAGCTGTTGGATATTTTGCTTTATAGATCCACATTACAGACGGCCTTCACATTACATTACAGTAATGATAGAGGAGCTGTTTATAATTACTGATTACAAGAGTATTTGAGATGTCAAACCAACTTATAAATAATGTCCAAGGCAACAGGATGGAAAAAGATTTTGCCTGTAGGGACAACGATAATGAGGTACGTCCTGCTGTGGAAAACAGACTAATGAGTGAGGCCAGTTCAGATTTAGTCGTACCGTTGCACAATATAATTGTTTGCCGGTCTGGTCAAAATTTCCCTTTGGATCAATACAAGACCAAGAAACGTGCTGAAACTTGGACTTTCTAGTTGAGCTACATTTAATTTATTGCCCCATAGACCGCCAGTGTTTAAGATGCTTGCATAACTCACATTAGCATTAAAATCTCTGTGCTTGGCTTGAGGTCTGGATGCTATACATTTCATTATAACAACATTATAACAGTGCTTGTAGTCATGTTGCAAGCTAGTGTTGATTTATTTAGATGGAGATGGAAAAGTACATAGAAGACTCCTACAGTGCTGTGAAAAAAGTATTTGCCTTCTCAAGGGCAAGTACTGCTCTTTTTTTCCTCTTTTCAGATAATTTTTGCTTGTTTAAGATCAAACAAATATTTGATATCAGAAAAAAGCATATACTTTTTTGTTATTTAATTTTTTAATGGACGATAGGACAACCAAAACAAACACGGCCACTTGTGGTCAGAGCACTGTAATTATCATCTAAAGATATTACTTTGTTGACCTGCATTATCTCAGTCGGATTTAGGTTCAGACTTTGACTTCTTAAAAACATTTTTTGATTGCTGTGCTTTGGATTATTCTCCTGCATCAATCACCCGTTGACCATACAGAGCTTTTTAACACTTTCTTCACTATTGACTATGACTTTCATTTGAAGCACTGTGTTTGTTAGCCTACTTCATGTTGTCAGACCAGTTTTATTTAAGTGATTTCTTGATTCTACATGACTGACAGTTATCAGTCATAGGTGTAAATGTTTTTCAAGGGTAACGTTTTCACATATGAGCATATAAGTTAGGATATTTTGGGGCATGGGTCTACTATCAAAATCTGCTTAATTTGAAACATTTGTGGCAAATACAAGCAGAAGAAATCTGTAAGGGAACAAACACTGACCATTGTATGTTTTATGATGCATTAACCCCACTTTATGCACCACTTGCATGTGGAAATTACAACAAATGTCAATGAAAGGCAGCAATTTATCTCTACCCTGGCATAGGAGCAGGCAAAGACCACAGACCTTGATGTATTAAAGTCAAAACATGTTTTTGTGTAACTGTATCTTTAGTGGTTAGATAATGCCTCTGAGATCCACAGTGCATCATATGGTCACAGGCAGTCGCCAACCTTCCTGCCTCCTTCAAGAACTCAAGCGGGCCTGATTTGGCTTCGGGGCATCCTGTCTTTTAAAACCATGCACACACAAACACACTCACAAATCCTAGACTCACATTTTTACTTGGACTTGCAGCGAGAAGACATGCAAGGCTGCACGTCAAGATAACCTTGGAATTGTAATGTCCCACTCTGGATTTGCATATTTATATTGAAAGTCACACAGACAGCCGGAGGGCCAGATGGTGGTGTTGGTACTTTACTCTTTTGTTGTGATAAAAAGTCTTTATTTTTTTTTGTTAGTTTTTTTTTTTCAAAAACATCTTCTGAAATTTCAGTGTATGAAAGAGGAAGGTAAAAATGTCTAAAATGACTCCAACCTTTGAGTATATTGTAGTAACGGTCTACAGACAACAGATTAGTCTGAAGAAGATAACCTTTTGCCATCCTTGAATAAGAGCCAGGAAGTGCTTCAGTAAGAAGAGGTGCTCTTCATGCTGAGGTGATACCCAAAGTAGTGGGACGTTTTACATAGCATCATTTGACATGCCACAAAAAAAAATATCTTCACCAACTTCCTTTTTATGTGCAAAATCATATTGTTTTCCATATTCAGTGCATGGTTATTGCATGACAAGTAGCGATGTAGCATTTGGTTTCCTGGTTCCATGCCTTATGTAATGACTAGTGTATTTTTGTGTATTTGTATTCTGTTTGCTTGTGAAGGCCGTGGCGACTTCCAGCCCCAGCTGAACAGTGCCATGCAGGATGTGAGTGATAAATACATCCTTCTGGAAGAAACAGAGAAGCAAGCTTTGAGGAAGGCTCTCATTGAGGAGAGACAAAGATTTTGCTGTTTTGTATCCTTGCTGCAGCCTGTAGTGGTGAGTAAAAAAAAGAGGCAAATTCATGTTTTGATTACTGTAACCGTACTACGACTGGATAAAATATGATCCGTTTATGGGTTTTCTGCTTTCCATGTGCTTGATGCTTTTAGGATGAGGAGATCTCCATGTTGGCAGAGGTTACCCATCTCCAGACCATCTCTGAGGACCTCAAGACCCTGACCTCTGACCCGCATAAGCTTCCTCCTGCTAGTGAACAGGTATGGGGAGGGGAAAAAAAAGCCTAAAATCCTGAAATCTTGTCATTTTTACTTTTTGTTTTGCCCTGTAAAATAAGTTTGCTATTTCTGTTAATATTAATAATTAATGATTATTTTTAGGTGATCTCAGACCTGAAGGGCTCAGACTATGGCTGGTCCTATCAAACACCACCTTCTTCCCCGAGTACTACTATGTCCAGGAAATCTAGCATGTGCAGGTATGTTTATGCAGTTTTGACCTTCATGTTTTAAAAGTAGAGTACACATTAACCTCCTGCATCCAAGAAACACTGTGAAATGAGTACAGAAATATGAAATGGTCAAGGATGCTTTATTTTATGTAAGAGGAAGCTCAGTAAGTCTGTCAAGTGTACATTTACCTTATGCATTTGCATTTCTCTAAAAGCCTGAAAGTCTTTTTTTTTTTAATCTAAATCAGATATGATGAAGGCATTACAACTGACAGTTTTCCAAACCATGACTGACACCTAGTGGCCAGGATGAGCTGGGGGAAAAGTCTTGATTATTTTGTTTCACTCTTATTGATCACTCAATGAGAATAACACCAGTACTATGCAGAATGATTTGGGGGAGTGGGGGAGTTAGCTGTTCAGACTATGTCTTCTGCTCGCTGTCCTTTGCTTTCTCTAATGGTTTTTGTACAACTGCTCTGGTTTAAAGTCAGAAATCTACTGTCTGAGTTCCTGTTTTCACTTTTTTATCTATCCTGTTGTTCTTGGACAATCTATTCTTGGGTTGTGAGTGAATTTTAATTCTAGATAGATTTTTGATTTATATTTATTTGAATATAAAATCAAAAAGAATACCACATGTATCAAAGGGATACATGTGATACTGTTAATTTTTACTTTTCAAAAAACAGGAGTAACATTATGAGTCTCATAAGTGAGTTCAAGTAATAAAGCAGCGCTTTTTTGTATTTCTTTTGGGCGTTTTAAAGAATAATTGTAGGTAGTCGGTGTCTTGTGTATTTTTAATTTTTTTAATCATTTGGGTGTATATTTTATACTTGTTTCAACGACTGGAGGAAGTTTTTTCACTTATTATTGACAGTGATGTGTGTAATCTAATTAGTCCTTGAATTTGTTCAGCATCTGAGTATTTTGTCTTGATAAAAGTCTGCCCTCTGTATTCATTATAATTTTTTATTTTATTATTATTATTTTTTTTACTTTGGTTTGATTGGATTGGCTTCGGTCACTGCTTGCTGCATCATTTTATGCCGTGTTAATCGTTTCCCACCCTGTCTCCTCCACATTCCCCCGTTATCCTCTGCCTTTTATCTCTCCCCTGTCTCCCCTCTCCTCCCCCCTCCACTCAACCCTTCCTCTTTAACCCGTGGCTTCTGGTGAACTTGACCGTCTTTAACTCTCCTTGCCGCTGCTAAACTTCTCCCACTGGTCCTCCCTTTGTGCCGTCCTCCTTCCCCTTTCACAGTAGTCTGAACAGCGTTAACAGTAGTGACTCCAGGGGTTCCAGTGGCTCTCACTCTCACTCTCCTTCCTCCTCTTCTTCCTCCTCCTCCTCCTCGCATCACCTCTTTCACCATCATCACCCCTGCCATCGATACCGCAGCTCCACATTACCCCTGCAGGCCCCGGTTCGGCTCTCTAGCATCTCTTCCCACGACTCTGGCTTCATTTCTTCATCGCAGGACCAAAATGCATCGTCCAAATCCTCTTCACCGATGCCAGCTGAAACAAAGGTAAGACAGGGCCAATAAAAGAGATACCCATATTTATTCATATATTCAATCCGGCTCCCTACTGAGAGCCAGTCTCCTTCAGACAGACAGTTGTCTGGCCGTGGTAAGTATGTGAAGTCATTTCAGTGCTATTATTGTATCATAAATGTGCAGGAAATTAGTTTGCTTCCTTTCTAGCCCAGGGTAAAACAGGTCAGAACCATCCTGCTATGAAAAAAAAAAACAAATTCACCACTGTGACAGACTTTGGTTTGGCTAAACTTAAAACCCTCAGAATACACTCAGTTTTATTTTTGATTAAATGAATCATAGTTAAATTATATGCTGCTGTGTTGCCTGTATGTTCTACATACATTAGGAATATGTCTATATCGCCTCAGTCTGACTCTCTGACAAAGGTTGTGAGATAATAATGCGAGTCAGTCCAGGGGATTGTCTGTGCGGGCTTTGAGGCTTGCGATCGACCGTGAGAGCAGTTGCATTAGTCGACGACGTGCTGCTCGCCAGCAACCAGAGCTCCTCAGCCCAGAACACATCGGTTTAGTTGGACTCCAAGTTTTTATGATCCGCTGAAGGTGGTTTGGCAGCTCCATGCCTGACCCACATACAGTACAGGCCTGGGAATGGGGCCTTGTGTTTGCTCACTGTGGGTTACAGAATCGGATGCTTAAAAGGGGCTTTAACTTTTTGGAGGGTTTTAACTGAGCTTCTTTTTAATGAGGCTGACACTTAACATGTTGCTCTTAATGGCCTTGCATCTAATGCTGATATAACTCTTCTCCTAGTGCACTGTTCCTAATGCTTTTCCTTACTAACTCGTGGAGAAGTTGCTACAGCTGCCAAGCAGTTTGCCTGTGCTTCTAGCTGTCAGTATGTCTTTGCTTTAATTCTCTCTTCTCCATTCGTGCTTCCTTCTCTCTCCCACCTCATCATTCCACTTCCTGCCGGCTGCTCCCTGTCCTCTCTGTCACAGCCTTGTCCCAGTTCCAGCTCCTCTGAGACGTCAGAGACTGGGCAGCTTCACGGTGACTGCAGCACTGCCTGCTCTCTCACCGCTACTGCACTTCAGCATGCTACTGACAAGGTGAAAAGCTCTTTCTGTATAATGAACCGCAGACCTTCATACGCCAGATATCCGCTTCCGTTCAGTGTAGGAAGGTTGAGGAAACTGATGAGGCTTGCAAAAGGATTAATATCACCTGGTTAAAACCACAAACTTCTGCATATTTGGTTGAAAATGTATGTTTTAGATCAATGGGTGTCAGTGGGTGATATTTCAGTTAAAAATAGCATTTTTTTTTTCTTTTTACAAATAATCTGAAAAGTTTGGTGGGTGTTTATATTCAGCACCTTTTTTGTACAATCACAGCTACAACTCTTTTTGTGTACGTCTCTACCAGCTTTGCTTGTAAAGGTGCTTCAATAAACCTTTGCTGATATCTTTACTCAGCCCAGTCAGATACTAGATTAAATAGAGAGCATTTGTGGGGTCTTGCCTCGGATTGTCAACTAGATCTGTGTTTTACACATGAACAGGGAGTGTGTTTGGTCTCAACCTTCCATTTTCTGTTCCCCCTCATTCGTGGCAGAACAATGCAGATGGCACTTAGTATGGCTTTTTTATGCAATACTTTCTTCTTGGTACTCTTTCTACTACATTAGTCCCCAAATAATGGTTGGGCTGTCAACAGAGTTTTTCAGATTTCAACCATCCATCCATTTTCTTTAGCATTCAGACTCTCATCTATACTGATGTTAATCAACAAGGATTTTGATCTTATTTTGCTTTCATTAATGTATCCTCAGTTATGTATGTTTTTTATTATTTGTTCACCATTTCATTTATTGATCCCATTGCTTCTTTTCCTTTTGTTTGCTTCTGTTGCCATTGGTCTGTCCTTCCATCAACACCAGTTGTCCAATGGCTTCGACCACTACAGCCCAGCCAGTCCCTCCTACCTGCATAGCAATGGGGGGAGCTTGGGCTCAGCTCCAGGCACTTCCTTCCCATTCTTCCCACCATCCTCCCCCTCTCCCTCCACCTCATGCCCCACTCGTTCCTGGTCACGTCCCGCCTCAGCCTTGCTGCCGGACTATCCCAACTACTGCACGTTGGGGTCCCCGATGATACCTTCATCAAAAGTCCCCAGCTGGAAGGTTGGTCATCACCTCAGACTTGATGAGCAACACATTTCCATTCTCCTTGTGTGCAGTTTGCTCATCACACGAATTTGCTTGGCAATTTTAGAATGAATTTCTTATTTTTTAACTTTCAAGCTTAAATCAAAAGAGAACCATTTTAAGGCTTTGAAACATCAGAGAAATGTGGGAAAAATCATTATTAAACAATTTTTGTCCACAGGACTGGGCAAAGCCAGGGCCTTATGACCAGCCCATGGTCAACACACTCAGGAGGAGGAAAGACAAGGAAGCTTTGGGTGGGATGGAGAATAATGGGAGCACAAATGGTGGCAACAGCCCCCCTTCAGACCAAACATCGATCTCAGCCCCCCGTCCTGCTCAGACACAAACACCAAACCAGCAGGAAGAGAAGAACAGGATCATGAAGGTCAGTTTGTGTCTCCTCTGAATTTGCTGTGAAAAAGTGTTTGTCCCTATAGAATTTTAATATATAGTAATTATAAAGTGAGTAAAAACTAAATGCTGTTTTTAAATGATGATTCTATTTTTAAGGGAAAAACAAATATCCACACCAACTGGCTTTACATTGAAGAGTATCCCAGTTAGCCCAATAACAGATTGATCTCGACAACTAGTGTCAAGGTTTTGCTTTAACTGGCCATCAAACTTTGGAACCAGTTTTAGACTGATTGATCTTAATGAATTGGATTCTACTGTCAACATAAATAATCTGTAAACTGTTTTTTTTTTTTTTGTTGGGTATTGTTTTGCAATAAAAGTTTTTTTTTTTTTTTAATGATCGGAAAGATTTAAGTGGAAAAATGAGGGGGGGGAAAGCTGATGAAATTTGTAAGAGCTCTCTTTTTTTTATTTGCATTTGTTATTGGATCCAGAAGAGCTTTTTTGCATGCTTCCATGGAGCACATTTAGTAATGTCCTAAAACTGCAGACCTATTTTTACAAAATTACTCAATGATTACCTTTAATGGTGATACTTATTTCCATATATTGTTTAATGCCATCTGTTAACTGTGAGCGTTCAACAAAAACAATTTTGTTGCAGTAACGGCATGTAAACAATGTGAATAGCCCTCCACCATTAATGTTCCCCGTTAATGACTTTAGTGGGTTGGACTTAATTATTTTAATGGCTTTAATACACTGCACTTCAGTCAATCAGTCTTGATTTTGTCTTTCCCCCCACATGTTGATTTCATCTGGTTTCGTCAGGCTGATGATCTCGAGGCCCAAAATGAACTGGCCCTGGCCTTATCCAGGGGTCTGGAGCTGGACACCCAGAGGTCAAACAGAGACTCCATCCAGTGCTCCAGCGGCTACAGCACTCAGACCAACACACCCTGCTGCTCCGAAGACACCATACCATCACAAAGTAGTAAAGTTTATCTCGATTATCTCTTCAGAGGTTTTGTGTCATAATCCACTCTGTACTAGTGACTTAACCTCCTCATATTTGCCCATGACAGTTTCAGATTACGACTACTTTTCCATGGCTGGAGACCAGGAGCCTGAGCAGCAGCAACCGCAGCAGCCGTCTGACTTCGACAAGTCCTCCACGATCCCCAGAAATAGTGACATCGGCCAGTCCTACAGACGCATGTTCCAGACCAAACGGCCCGCCTCCACAGCCGGCATGCCCATCACACAGACCCCATATCCTGGACAGGGGACGTACCACGGGGCAGCCTATCCCTCCACACCGGTCCACACAGGAGCCTATCCGTCTGCTCCTGCTGGCCAATACACTGCTGCTTCTACGGGTACAAATAACTGAGGTTTTTCTTATTGCAACCACAAACTCAGGCATACATTTAAACAAAATTGAAAATAAAACTCAAACAATTAGTAATAGAATCCACCCAAGTCTAACTTATTTTGAGTCATAGAAGCAGGTCAGAGGTGATGGGAAGATTAATAGAGTTAAATAGAGGTTGGTCATTAGGCAGTGAGAGATTTAAAGCCTCTAACAGGCAAAATGTGGCTCAAAAAAATACCAACTATTTACTCTGTGGGACTGAATAGAAATCGTACTCCACACCTTTCAGATTTTGATTTATTTTTATTTGAAAAACATTCCCATTCGTACTCCTGTCGTGCCTGTGTTTTTCGTGTTTTATGGTAAAATATCAATAAAATACATTTTGTTTTCTTTTGTGTATCTGTTAACAAAGGTTGCTTCACGTTAAAACCACAATTTTCTAGCAGCTTTTATTATTTGCTTTGTATCATCATTACCTGCCAAGGATTCACCCCACCTCTGTAATCCTCCCTGCAGGTCATGGTCCAATTATCGTCACCCCTGGAGTTGCCACAATCCGCCGCACCCCCTCCTCGAAACCCTGCGCCCGTCGCTCCGGCTCTGTGGGCGGAGGCCCCATTCCCATTCGTACTCCTGTCGTGCCTGTGAAAATCCCTACAGTGCCTGATATGTCAGGAGCAGTTAACGGGAGCAGGAGTCCAGAGGAGATCGGAGGAGGAGAGGAAAGCTCACATTCCTCGACATTTGTAAGACCGGACGAAGCTGGCACGCTTCCTTTGACGTCCTGGAGCGGCCAAGCCTCTACCAACCCTCCGACCGTTCCCCTGCCCAACCAGCTGGTCCAGCCGTACCAGAGAGTTGGAGAGGAGGCGGACGAACAAGATGAAGGAAACATGCTTGTGGCTATCCGCAAGGGGGTCAAGCTCAAAAGAACCCTCACCAACGATCGTTCAGCTCCACGGATCGCCTGACGGCATCATCCGACTGCCAGCCTGGTGTCACAAGTATCTTGAGCTTTGATGATGGAAATTTCCATTAAAAAAAATATTTGGGAATTTGGTCAAAAGCTTTAAAAGAAAGAAAAAGCTTTTTGTGTTAATAGGAGACACCTCTCTTATGAAATGTTCACTTGTGAAAATATGTCACCTCAAAGACATTTAACCTCGACTTAGTGTAGATTTTTTCTTTTTGGTTGATCCGTCAGATCCATCAGTCAAAGGCAGAATCGTTGGCATAACCAGTAGTAGACCAGAGCGCCCCCTTGTGGTCGTTTCTGTTCCCGCTGAGTAGATTTTATTCTTCATTGGCCATCAAACAGAAGCTCTACACCAAAACACTTATCATTTCTGCTGGGTTGGGTCCATGATGTGTGTCGTAACGGTGTGAAATATTAGGATGCGCTTCTGTGAATATTTTTCTGAAAAGAGGGCACAAATGACTTAGCTGACCTTTTCCTGTGGTAAAACAACCACTGTTTATGAAGAATAATGGACACTAAGCTGTCTTCCACTTACAGCTCAGAGGCATAAACACAGCTCACATCAGAGCCCCTCATGGACCCGAATGGCCGACCCAGGAAGCTGTGGCAAAGCAGAGGAACTGACTTTGTGTTACCACTTGTTTGACCACGCATTGCTGCAGGCTACTTTGTAAAGTGTAACGAGGTTATATAAATAGAAATTTGATCTTTTGTTTTAAAATCTTTGCTTGTCTTAGTGTCTTTATAATTTGTAAATAATTTAGCACATCTAAATTGAGGATGAGTGTGATGGTTCAGAGTGACGATTTTTAGTTTCAAAACATCTAAAAAGGTTGTAATCATCATCGGCCTCCACTGCGTTAATATAAATTTTTGGTTAAACTCTCCTGCAGGTGTTTGATTTCTCATATCTTTTGACTCTGCAGGCTACATACTGAGATTTGTAGGATGTATAAACGTTAATTGACCCTCTACTATCGTACTATGGTATCCATGTGCAACAGTTTGAAAAATTAAAAACAAGTGATAGGAATTTTTAATGAGACAAACTATTTTTGATGTAAAGATTCTCAGTTAAAATTTCTAAACATTTTTATTTCCAAGTTTAATTTTTTTGTTTCCTTTTACTCTAACAAGGAAGTACTTCTGATTAACATTTCCAACTTTTGCAGTATCATTCTTTATGTACAGATATTGTTTCAGTCAAAAGGAGGAAATCAGATCAAAGTGTGTAATTCATAAACTATAAATATAAGTAGCATTTTGGTTACTTTTTTTATCAGGACTTTGATAAGATTTTGGGATACGAGATTAATCCTCGTATCGTAGCGTTAGACTATAAGCTAAGGAGGTTAGTGGCACCACGTCTGTAATTCATTTGCGTTTCAGTTCAAGCACTGTGTACTTCAAGATGTATGAAAGTGTAAATATTGTTTAGCGATGGTCAGTCGAGGAACTCACACATTTTTAATTTATTTTCTTTTTCAGTGTTTTAATTCCATCTTGGTTCTCATCTTATTTCTATTTTTATACGTTCTAAAATATATATATATATATATATATATATATATATATATATATATATACCAGAGTTAAGAAGGTTGCTTATCCGTTCCAGTGTGAGAAAGATATAAAACAGATGTGCAGACATTACATATTAACGAGAGGCAAGCTGTTTAACTGAGTTCACGGGCAACAGTATTATAAGTTTTGTGTACAAAATAACTGTACATTTTCCTCTGAGTTGGTTAAAGTGTCTGTATTGTTTTAGTTTTTGCTTGTACAGTTATTTTAGCATGACTGAACAGATAGTGGACTAACACAGAAATATTCATAAACTTGACAGCTGTCCCCTGAAGGCAATTTTATTTTATGACCTGGTCTTTTTTTTTTCTGTCTGAATATCTGAAATATGCTATTAACCTGTAATTCCCATATTCAAATTCTTAGCATAAATATATATTTCCAAATGCCAGTGTATCCTATGAGTAAGAAGTATATAGTTTGTGAAATTTTGAACATTACAGTTTAATCTGTGACATAGTTTAGTCTTTTGCTCATTTTCTCAGTGGAGAGTTGACCTCTCGCTGCCTGTCCCTGTATAGTTTAAGCTTTGATGCTGTTTATTTTTCAGGAAAAAGTGGCACCTTTAAAAATATAATAAAAATAATCAACTTACTTTGGCTCAGTTGTTCTTGTTTTGTATATTCATGGTTTTTGAGTGGGTATAATATCATACATATTACATTTTAAAGGATAAAAATGTTATATGCAATACCTGACAATCTTTGAACCAAGAACCATTTTATATTTTTTAGACTCGAGCTGTAATTTAAAACCGATATATTAGACGCTATAATTTGTACATTTTGTTTGATCAATGTATTTCACACAGCTTTTATACATGAAATAAGAGAGACTGAATGCAGCCCAAAGAACTTAAAACACCACCGCCACACAGAGGGACCAAACGTTGTAAAAATAAATAAATAAAAATAAAAAATCTTGTTATGCGACACTGTGGCCACCAGAGGCCGCTCTTACAAAGGTTTAATTACTAGCTCTCAACCAACGTCTACATGTTTTCATTTAAGATCTGTAAACACGCTTATAATCGGCAAAATATTTAATCACCCTCAGGAGACGTTAGTTTTTTCTTTTTATTCTTTTTTTAATGAATGGGCGCCTTCCTTCTGAAACATAATGCCACGTGATATCTTTATTTCCTTTGGGTGTGGACTCGGGTGTGGTTAAACAATTGAAGTGCCCCACCTGGATGGAAAGGAATGGGAACACACCCATTTGTGACATACTGATTCGCACTTGTCTAATATTTTTTATCTTGACTGAGCTGTGAGTAGTTACATAAAACGTTTTGGCACTTATTTTCATTGGCAATATGAACCAGTCATAACATCCTAAAAATAGTAATCACATGACGCATTTTTTTTTTCAAACGTGACATTAAATTACCTGTATAACTTGCCCCGTTTACATAAATTTTACACATTCTTCAGCACAGCAGGCTTTGAATTTCTGACCCAAGCAGTCCCCAAATAAGACTGTGATCAGAGGTGCGTACGTCTGACTGTGCCGTCAGAGTTACGCACGGAGGAAAGCGGCGCTGCCATTGGTCAACATTTTCGAGGTCGCTGTCCGGCGCTGTGCCCTCCCATCCGCCTCACTCCATCCTGCCAGCTAGAGGTTAGTCCGAAGAAACCGAAAATGTGATTTCTTTTACTGGTACACAAGTCGGTTTAATGTTTGCGGTTTCTGTGTCACTGTGTGGAAACTCTTAGAGCGAGTGAAGCGTATGAACCGGACCGGTTGCCGTGTTTTTTTTGGGCTTCTCCTGGCGGAGGTTGGAGGACGGGACAGCGGAGCATCGACTGAGGTGCGTCCCAGTAAGTCATGTTGCAGTTTGGTTTATGCAGCTTTTTGCTTCAGAAGAGGGTTGTAAACTAAAATACCGGTTCGTAAAATAGTGTGTGTGGGAAATGTCAGGTTCGCATTTGGTTCAGAATCGACATTCGGATAGAGAAACTGTGTTTTTCTGCCACCGTTGTGCGGACGTTAGTTTGTAGCATAAATAATGAAATCATGGGTAATGTCACGTGGTTGAGAAAAATACAATTTTACTCTAATTACAATCAGCTCTGTTGTCCGTCAGGACTCCGGGTTATTTCTCTACCCTCATCCCTAAGATGCTTCCCTCCCTGCGGAGAGTCCTGCGGCCTGCCTTCTCCTTGACAGCCGGGGGAGGACTGTCCAGAGCCGGACACAGGAGCGGCGAACCATCCGCTGTAGTATCAGGCTCCCCGGGGAGGCTCGCCTCACAGCCTCCGCTCTCTGCGCTGGTGCAGCGATGCTACCTGGGCACACATCCCCTGAAGGAACCCGTGGAGCCCCTCAACTCACCCCGCGGAGCCAAGGACTTCATTTACAGCCTCCATCCGTCGGAACGCAGCTGTCTGCTGCGGGAGCTGCATAAGTTCGAGTCCATAGCCATTGCTCAAGGTAGGTAGTGTTTTACAGTGAAGCAGAAGGTACAAGGTGTTACATTTCAACACCGTCAGTATGATAAAGTCCGCCCTTTAGGTTCAGTTATTTGTGCTCTACCTGTGGACAGCAGTCAAATATTCGTGCAGTTTCTGAAAATGTAATACTCGTTTTTGTTTGTGCGTGGAAAAGTAAAAAAAAAAAAAAGTGGTAACATTGGGTCAGGTGAAATTTTCTATCTACATCTCTTGGAGACAAAAATACTTGCTTGTAAAATGCTATGTTTTCAACATATAAAAAAAAAGAATCCTATTATTATGATGGGTGATGATGACTCAAGCTTTTCCTTTGCCTTGGTAAGACAGATGCACTTCTGTAAATGTTCTGTGTAAATGCATGAGCTCTTGCAATTGCCAGTCCAGCAGGGGTTGAAACTGTTACAAAGTCTGTTTGCATGGAGCTAGCTCTGGTTAGCTCTGTGATTCACCCTGTTTAATTTGAACTGAGATTAGCCGCAGTTTTAAATCCCAGCAGGGAGAAATAAATTAGGTGTTTTATTAAAATGGTTATTACAATCTCTTAACGGATAATTGAGGTCTGAATGGTCTTTGGCTGCGGGCAGATTCTTTTCAAATTCCTAAAAAATTAGAAATGGCTGATCTTTAAATGCAGCTCTAAAGCTGACCGCAGCCTTTTTTTCAGAGCCAATTCTCATAAATGTCATATTATCTATAGATAAGGAGCTAAAGAAAATTAATATAAGAATCTGGAATGAGTGTGGCTGAATTTTGATGGACCTATATAACCCGTGATCATATATTATACATTTTGGATTGATTGCAGTCTGTTTGATGTATTCTGTTCTGTTTACAGCAGGTATAAATGCACTAACCTCTCTTACACTCGTGTCTCTTTTTATAAATCTGCAGTCTTATTATGTGGTAAGACAGCATGGAGGGCAGTGCTTGTAGACCTTCTGATCTATGTTGTGCAGGATAAATGATCAGTAGCTGGCACTGTCTGAGGACATGTGGGCGTCCTTCCCTTTTGTTTTGATTTGTGCCTTCATGATGCAGCAATTTTTACAGTTTGGTTTGCTGGGAGTCTAGATTACTCCCAGCAAAGTCAGGTTTAAAGTGGACTGGTGAAGTGGGCTCAAGCAACCCAGAGATACCTGCTGAAAGAAAATAAAAAAATGTTTGTTTGTTTTTTTCCAAAGCCATAGCCTCCAGGTAACTGTTAATAATTATTTAATTTTTAATTTTATCAGGCATTTACTCTTTCTTGTTGTCACTGATGCGGTCGCTTTGTAGGTAGGGTTTAGTGAATTGTGCAATGTACTCAGTGTGGAGGCATTACTGCATCTCTGTAAGAATACAGTTATGGGAGCATGAGAAATGCACCAGAACAGAGGATCTCCCACATGCAGAGAGAAAGTAGTCAATCAATAAGGAGGGGGATGCAGCGGGAGAAACAGTTAAGTGATGATGAAGAGGCTTTACAGCTTCTGTGCTGACCCAAAACTGTTCACACTCTTTCCCGCTGGGGATAAAACACGGCGCCTGTGGTTTACCATACTTATTATTTATTAACAGGCTTAATAAATAATATTAGTGTTAATATTATAATAAATAATATTAGTTTCATATCAGTGATATTGTGAGATATAAATATCGCATCAACTCCAGAAGTTAAGATTTCAAATATTTGTGTTTGTTATGGTCTCAGTAATATCATGGAAGGACATAAAAAAAAAAAAAAGATCAGATGGATTTTTCTTATGAAGATAGAAATCCTGCTATGAATTCTGCAGCGCTGCTAAGAAGCTTTGTTTTTATTCTCTCACACAGTTTTGAAAATGAGTTTCCTCATAGGTTTTACAGACCGATCTTGATTCTCGTTTTAAATAATTGTTTTATATTTTATATCAAGACTTGTTTGTTTTTTAAGCTATAATCTTGACCCCCAGATAATTACAGCACTTGAACATTTTCGGTTTGTCATACTGCAAACATAAACTTAAATGTATTTTATTTTAATATTGTATGATGGGCAAACACAAAGTAGTGGATAACTGTGAGGTGGAAGGAGAAGGATACCTGATTTTTTTTTTTTTTTTTTCCTGTGCTAAGCCAAGATAAGGACACAGAAAACATCAGAGCAAACAGAGGAATTTGC